TGGGTACAAATTCAGTACCTCCAAGTTACAGTCTGGTACTGACAGTTCAGGGGGAGAAGAGGTGTTCTTTCCAAGGAATGAAGTCTGTCCCCCATCAGTTAATCTCTAAATCAAGACAATAAAAAATATTCAGTTAACTCTCCCCAAACACAGGCGCTCAGCCACTTATAAAATAATGCAGTGGGCAAATGGCCATACTGGGGTTTTCTGGGTAAGAACAAAGGCTTTATGTAGGCATCTCAACTGGCTCTTAAGGACTTACAAAGCCTTTCTCATCTTTATCTATATGCAGTATAGGAGGAAGGTCAGAGCAGGCATAGATGGGTCACCCTCAAATTCCTGGCACAAGCATGGGGCAGTATGGTCAGATGCTCTTTAGGATTCAGTGGACATCCTACATTCCCCAATAATCCAGTATACAAACCTTATTCCCTTCCATCCCTATTTCAGGTCTTCTATTCCTTTACACTCTTCTCACATGACTGGATCCTGAAGAACTTCCAGTCCATCTTCAGGACCCCTCTGTGATCCATTCCTAGGCCCCTTTTTGGAGTTCTTTTTTGCTCTATTCATAGTCTCTATTTTACATTCCAAAGAGAATCATGCTGTAAGAATGGAGCTTCCTGACTGGTTCTTTATAGACCCCACTGATTTAACCATGATGTTTACAGTATACTTACACTTGTCCTGTAGATGGAGACATTTCAGTGAAGAACTGCAGACAAGACTGGCTTTTGAGACCCTTCCTGACCTAACTACCACTCCCACCTTACCAGTTGTTACCCCATTTCCTGAAAGTAGAACAAGGTTTATCCTTATCTAGTTAAGTTTATCTTCTTGGGAGCCTGTTTTTCCTAGTAGCAGGGTACAAAGCAGCATCAGGCAGAAGGAAATCACTGAAGAACATTCATTTCTAACTTATAGCCTTGGTTGGGTTTTCTTGCTATACTCACTCTAGGTGAGTCTTTAGCTTAGCTCGGGAATGCCCAAATAAAGTGGAGGCATATTTTCCTACTCTAAAGGATTTACCTAAGCTTTTCCTCTGCATCCTTGAAGCTACACATGTCAGTTCATTCTTATGTTTTATTGTGACATGCCTTGGCTTTCTATTTTACATAAACTGTGTTCCCCAGAGCCTCTTCTCAACTTGATGCTTCTGAGGAAACAAATACTGATCTAGAGGAAGTGAATGATACAAACTGAATGACCTTTTCATAGCCTGGAGTTGATTTCTAGAAACTTAACTTTTTTGAAAGTAGTTAAACTTAGAGGCTGACTCCTTATTAAAATCAAAAAGTTGAATTCTATAAGATGGCTAATAAACTCATTTTCTTTGTTTAACTGCTTTAACATTTTCTCTCCAAGGGTCTCACATCTGTACTCATATTTTCAAGAAGTCCCAGGACAAAGATGGTTGTAATTTTTCACTGTTAACTTTCTATTGGCATGCCATCTCCTCTGGTAGATGATTATGAGGCCTGAGAATGCAAGTTTTTAAGGGGGAATGAATTGCCAGACTCCTTTGTTGAAGTGGTTTTCTCAGTAGGGTGCTAGTGATTGTGAGGTGTTCAAACAGTAGACCAACACTGTACAGGAACTTTTAGACTGAGCCACAGTTTTGCTACATCATTTGAGTTCTACATAGTGGGCCCCCAAATAGTTACTTGCTTCAAAATAATCACACCACAAATCAAAGGTTATAATCTGGTGAGAACATTCTCTCAAAAAAGAAGTCTGGACATTTAATAAATATTTTCACTTTGGGGAAGATTTTCTTGGCAAATTCTTTCAGGTATCTTGGGAGCTTGTGAGGCTTGGACCATTCCATCTTCTATGAGAAAAATGTCAACTCCATTATGTTGTTTGGGTTCCAGTTTGTATGGATCTCAACCCAGATTCTTTTAGGCCTCATTTACAAACCTTTGGGGAGAACAGACCAAATACAAATACAGACCAAATATGTGTGTACCTATTTGTACCTAATTTGATTCATGAAGCAATCTATCTCAGCCACTCTTATTCTATTAATAAGTTGGGACCCAGGTATCTTTATTGTATGTGAGGAAAAAAAGGGACTTGAAACTGGTTGTTTTGTTTTAAATTGGAAAATACAAATTACTTAGACGTGGTCAAGTCAGCAAGTTTGAAATGAAATGTTCTGAGTTCAATTAGGAGTACTACTTTGTGTTAAAGCTCTGCACAAGAACTTAAACTACTGAATATCACATCACTTCACCACAGGAACATTTTCTGAGAAATGTGTCATTAGGTGTTTTCATCATTGCAGGGACATCACATGCATGTACTTATACAAACTAAGATGGCTGCAAGATTACTAGGGAATATAATCTTATGGGACTTCTATGGTATACACAGTCCATTGTTGACTGAAGTGTCATTATGCAGAACATGGCTTGTGTTTTATTTTTGAAATTACATACTTTTGTCTAATTATTGTAGCCTTGGGATGAAGACATTCTGTCTAAGGGCAGGAAAATGGTGGAGAACAGAAAAGTTGTATTGTTCATTTTGTAAACTAACATTCTATTTTTAGGTTGATTTGCTTTCTGTTATTTTTAGATACTCTGCAGTGAGAGAAGAGTGTGAAATGTTGCTTTACTGTTAGTGGTGGTATCTGATGGGCAGTGTAGTTTCTGGAAATCACCTGGCTCTGCTTTCTGGCTGCCATGCATGCGTCATTCTTCTTTCTCTTTAGTAGTACGCTTGTTCTTTTACCTTCAACAGTGTTGCTTGGGTAGTTCCATGGCAGACATTTCTCATTCTCAGGGCTTCCCAAAGTTGTATACCATTTGAAATTGTTCCATTTGAGGAAATACTTTTAAGAAGAGCTGGATGGCCTAGTTACCAAGAAAGAATGTCATGAGAAACACAAGCATTGAGTCCTAAACTACAAAACCAAGTGAGGAATGAGGCTGTTAATGATATGGCAATAGTTGGATCATAGTTACCATTTTTCCCACTATTAGAGAGGTTAAATAGTTTCCATAACCTGGAATTTGTGCCCCTGGATTCAATCTTCAATGTTGCAAAAAAATTTAAAAAATCTATAACATGGAATGTGGGCAGGGTTCCTACCCTAATAGACTTAAATATGCAGTTGTTTGTCTCTAGCTATTTGTGGTGAATACGCAAAGAATTTTAAAATGCCCAGGCAGCCTTGGAAAAAGAAAAACTATATGGATTTAGAGTTGTTGACAAAATATTTCTTTAAAAAAAAAAATAAGCCTGATTTAGAAATATCTAAACATGGATAAAGTACTTTTGAATCTGACATGTAACTGCATGTGGCTTTTATAAGCAGTTTCTTAAAAGTAACTCTAACATGACTTATCAGTCCTATTTAAAACCACTTCTAAAAGCATCTTAGGAAGGGGTAGCTTGGAGGGCTTTGCTTGACTATTTCAGATCTCGGCAGACCAATGCTTACAGTAGAAGAAAGTAGTCTTTGGTCAAAAACACTAAATCTTTTTGGCTTCAAACCATTCCTGAGATATTCCACCAGAGCTTTAACTGACCATCTCTGCAGATGGTCAATTCCTCTCTGAGAGAACCTGATAGTGCCTGGGTTTGCTGTGCCTCTGATCAGTTGTTTCATATGCCTAGGTCCCTGTTAGTACACAATCTTAAGCTTGGGAGTTCAGTCTAGCACTCAAAAAGGATGCCTGATATTCTACAAAACCTGTAAATTGATGTTTTCAGAATAGCTATGAAAAAAGTCTCAAAAGATAGTTGATCTAGAGCTGGGGTTGTGGCTCAGAAGTGGAGCGCTTGCCTAACACTTGTGAGGCACTGGGTTTGATCCTCAGCACTACATAAAAATAAATGTATTGGAGCTGGGTTGTGGCTCAGTGGTAGAGTGCTTGCCTAGCATGCATGAGGCACTGGGTTCGATCCTCAGAACCACATAAAAATAAAATAAAGGTATTGTATCCCCCACAACTAAAAAATAATATATTAAAAAAAATAAAAGTATTGTGTCCATCTACAACTAGGGAAAAAATTAGAAAAAGATGATTGATCTAAGTTCTTCAGGGCTTAAAAACAAAGGAAAAGTATATATTTTAAATTCAGCTTTCTTAACTACTGGCAATAGAAATTCATGAAGTCCAATTATAATTGCTCCGAGTGCCAGCCCACAATACTGACCCCATAGCACACATTTAAGAAGAGTATACAGGCCGGGCATGGTGGCACATGCCTATAATCCCAGTGACCAGGAGGCTGAGACAGGAGGATCATGAGTTCAACCAGCCTCAGCAAGGGGCACTAAAAAACTCTGCCTCTAAATAAAATATAGAATAGGACTGGGGATGTAGCTCAGTGGTTGAGTGCCCCTGAGTTCAATCCCCAGTCCCCTTCACCCACCCCCCCACCAAAAGTGTACAGGGTTAGGGTTAGGATTGTAGCTCAGTGGTGGAGCATTTGCCCCGCATGTGTGAGGACTGGGTTCTATCCTTAGCACCATATAATAACAAAGTTATTGTGTCCAACTTAAAAAATACTTTAAAAAAAAAAAAAGTATATAGAGAAGTACCACATTGCTCTGGGTCTTACATTTTTTTGTGTCTGTATGGTGCTGGGGATGGAACCAGCAGCCTCACACACGCCAGGCAAGTGCTCTACCACTCAGCCCCTTGGGTCTTAAGATTTTTTTCATGATATGTTCTGGTAGTCCTGAAGAAAGATATGGCTAACAGAAGAATTCTTATTCCACCTGTGTGCTTTCCACTTCTTAGACCTAGAACACACAGAATCCTTTGGCTATTAAGAAACTCTTATATGAACACAATACAAAAAGTGTGGAAAATAAAGCAACGTGAACTTTGCTGTGAAAGGGAAAATATGTAAATAAAATAGCCCTGTAGTTATAATAAGCCATTTAAAGATTTGAGTTTGAGAAAACTTCAATCTATATAAAACTGGGCAACGTCTTCATCTTGGATGAGAATAACCAGTTACAGCAACCACATTCTCTAACATTTTAAAAAAGATAGCATCTAATTTTTATTTGCAATAGCGTTTCTAAAGTAATTCTTTCAAAGGAGCATATATTCTCCATAGATTTAAGTCATACCATGAAACACATTCTGACAGCAATCTAAAGTGCAAGTCATGAGGCATGGCAACTTTGGTTATGTTACTGAGCTGTGTTGCCTACCCACAAAATGATTTTTTTTTAAAGCCTCACCTCGCAGTCCGATACCAAAAAACATTGTGAAAAAATTGAGGCCTGTGAGACACTATAGATATAATCATGTTAGATCTTCGAGTTCTGGGAATGTGTATCTCCCGAGAAACCGTCAAACTATTGTCACTAAGCCAAACCTGAACCCACTTGAAGACCAATAATAATTATAGTTGTGCTATAGAAGGGGTCAAAGTCAATATTTAGAAACATTGCATTTTATTGAATTCTAGATCAGCTAGTCTATTCTCCCCTATAGACCAATGACAGTAAGATTGGAAGAAAATATATGAAAGTTAAGAATCTATTATCACTATTCAAAATGTTGGAACAACTTTCACTGTACTAGTGAGGCATTAATAAGAGCCTAATGTCTACAATAATTCATTCTTGCTCAAAACAAGAAGTGATTTCACTTAGAGTTCTGAATTTATTCTCACTGATTTTGCTATTTGCATTAGTAAGGTTCTGGCTTAGAGTCCTCTTCCCATTCTCTAATGTTCAACTTTAACATACAACAATCAACACTAGAGCTTAGAGAAATGTGGAACTGGGTAGCAGATGCCACAATTACAGCCCATCCTGATACATCTTACTCAACCATTCTCTAATATAAGAAGGTTTCTCCTCCTCTTTTCTGGGGGCTTGCTCCTTTGTCATCTTTCAGCTAAATTCCTTTATAGATTTATTATGATGAGAAAAAGGTTTTAGATAACAAGTATTCGTGCTATCAACCTAAAAAAATACAGAAAGAATAGGACTTTTATATGTCAAAATAGAATCCCTGCAGTCCACTCCAGACTGGTCCTAAAACAGAGAATACTTCTGCAAGGTTACTGACAGAGCAGCAGCCTTGCCAGTCATTGAGGACACTTTAAAGGCTTATGAAAGGAAACTTGACCTCAACAGAAGACTACACTCAATAATGGAAACAATATATTTCTCCACTGATATACAATACTGTGTAATGCACTGAAAAAGTTGGATTTTAAAGTAATAGAACAATTTGAAACAATACAGCATTTTTGGATGTCTTCCCACTAGTCCTTATTACACTTGAAACCCTTCATCCTTAGTGTATCCAGATACACTATGACATACTGATCATAAATGACAAGCAAACAGTGTCACAAGCCACATGGAACCATCTGCATGCAGTTCAGCCTGACTTTACCCTTACTTCCTTCCAATACAGACTCCATTACAATTCTGAGCCATCTGCAAAGAATATAGATACACAAAACTAAAACAAGTATCTCTCTATGATTAGAATATTTTAAAGTCTTTAGAAACTTTCCAGACGTACCTCTGATGGAGCACCCCCACCCTCCCCAGTAGAACCCAAACAAGAACATCCTTTGCTCCTGTGGGTCCTGCCAGAACTTGTTTAATGGGTGTTCAGGGTTTTGGTTTTCCTCCTTATTCTTCCTCCTCCTCCTCCTCCTCTTCATCATCATCTTCATCATGGCAGTGTGTGATTTCCTGGGGGGCCAGTGGGAAGAGGTTGGGGGGTTTAATCTCACTAATCGACCTTGTCAACTGGTGTCGCTTATAGTCGGTGTCTTTAAAATCCACTGATGTGCGGTTGCGGGTGGCAAGTGGGGACTCCATCTCATTGATATCTACGTGTGTGTGCTCCACGGTTGACTCATGAGGCATCTAGAACAAAGCAAGAAGCTCACTACATCTAGTAGAGCAAAAGAGATACTTCCCCAATCCTAACCCCTTTTCCCCTATTAGGTGGCCATGTGGAGTTATATCAGACAAATCATTTAGATAGACCTTTACAAAACTACTACCTAAAACTCCCTCTCTTTCTCTCTACTCCCAAAATAGTAACCTATCCTTTACTACAGCTGGAAACTGGGTAAGACAGAGAAGACTATTATTTTCAGTTTCACAGCCAGTCCTCAACAGCTCAATATCAGAACACAGGAATATAGAAACCACATTTCTTTGAATTAATATTAACAAAAGAATAAAGTCTTCATCATTCACTGTAACTTGTAATAGACTTCAGGGAGTTAAGTTATATTCTCTAAGTTTCTATCTTGATCATACTTTCTGAAAGGCCCTTGTGCAACCACATAATCTGACCCTAGGCTTTGCACAAAAGAATGTTTAAATTGTCTCCTGTGCAATCCCACAAAGCTGGTTGCAGATCTTGATCTTAAAGTGTATCTTAACTATCAAAAGTAACTTTATTTACCAGGACATGGGCAGCTCTGAAGAGATAACTGAATGGATAATACAGCAGGTTGATGAAAGATGCGGCATAGAGATCAGCATAACGCATCACTTGACTGGCAAAGAGTGTCTGCCGGGAGCCACTACGAAATAGGCTTCCCATCATCCCATAGCACATATCCATGTCATGAGTTACTTTCTAAAAAAAAAAAAATAACAAGATTGATTTTCAGTTCATTCAAGAAATTATTTATTGGGCACCAGCTATATGCCAGTCCCTGGAAAAAAAATAAAAAATATGAAAATCATTTAACTCATTTTCTACTTTCTCTCAAATCTAGTTTTGATACCTTTATACGTCTCTGGATGGAACTAATGTCTGGGCGCTCATTGCTACTGCTGTCAAGGTGCCTGAAGATAAAGAGAAAAACCCTGTGAAAATCTCCAGAAAGAGCATTTCTTACACCAAAGTGACTCCCAAAAAGGTAGATGGTTTTTAGGGAAGAAATTTTTAGAACTGAGAAACTTACTTGTAGAGTTCAGCCAAGAAAATATCCAAGCTCTGAAGTTCTTCAAAAAGGGCTAAAGTTTGGAAAAGAAAAGAAAAGTTCCCAGTTTTTAACTGACACTAAAACTTCAGTAAAAAGTTGTACATAGGACCCAAGGGTATATATAGCCTGGACCAACATGTCACAGGCAGGTGTATAAATGACCTCTATCTCCTTCAAGAAAACCCATGATAATCTGTTTGGAATGTGGCAGCAGCTCAATACCTTAATTACCTTTTCTTCTATTTGAACACCACTGACTACAATTTTTTCTTCCATCTGTATGCTCATTCTGAGCTTGCAAAATACCAATTCCTACCCTATCTCAGATGTAGTCAGCAAAAAGCAAGTGTTTGTAATCCCATTTTTAGATAAATGAATGAGAATGAAGTGACTTGTCCAGGGTCACAAGTACAGGAAATAGTACAGCCAAATCAATTAGATTTCTGAAACTTCAAAGGTGGAAAGTTGAAAATACAGATGAAAGGACAGCCTGAAGATCCTACTGATAGTACAGACAACAGAGATAGCAATAGTTAGTATCTGCATGCTTTCCATGTGTTGTAGCCCTTCTCAACCTGAGTTCCCCGAGGGAATTAAGCCCTAAGACATCTATTTTTTTTTCTATTTAACAAATGTGAGGACAGAGAGACTCCAACATTTCCTGCTGGTTCTCAGGAGGAGCCTTGGTTGAGAAGGGTTGTGATGTCTATCTTCTTTATACACATATTTCCTAAGTCTCATCAACATTATGAGGTAGGTGCTATTATTATCATCCCCATTTCAATATTTGAGGAAATTAAGGCACAGGGTATTCTCAGTAACTTGCCTAAGGGCATGCAGATTTTAAGCGATAGATTCAGGGTTCTTACTCAAGGCAGGCCAAATTTCTGGAGTAACTTTCACCGTATACTTGGTGATACTCAGTAGGGCTGCATGAAGAACTTGTGTATCAAACACCTTTATGTAACTATATCCCCATAGCTCAATTTAATATAGTATATGTCCTGCAAATATATAGTGTGGCTCAGTCCAAGAATATAATTTGTCTTCATTCTCTATTTCTCAGAAGAGTAAATAAATACCAGGATGTAATTAATGTTCAGAACTGTCACCTCCCAGAATCTCAGATATGGGCTGTTAGGAGAGAATGGCAACTAGGCATGGTTGGAGAAATATGGACTGCAGAGGAAGCGGAGCACAGGTTAGCAATTACAAACTGTAATACAACATGTAGCACTATGCTCAAAGAACACCAAAGTTTTCACAGTGAGGTCTGACACCAACATTCTACACTTAACCTCAAAGGGATTTAAGAAGTTGAATAAGGGCTGGGATTATAGCTCAGTGGCAGAGCACTTGCCTCCCACAAGAGAAGCACTGGGTTCAATCCTTAACATCACATAAAAATAAAATAAATAAAATAAAGGTATTATGTCCATCTATAACTAAAAAAAAAGAGCAAAATGGAAATAAAAAAGTTTGAATAAGATAATAACCTCTTATATTTATTAAAATTCTGTGAAATAGCTGAATATTCTAATGGGACTATCAGGGCCCATCTTTTGACCACATCCGATCCCCTGCACAAAAAGTAATGGTTTATCAAAAAGGAATGAATTCAAAGATGGCCATTTAGATATAAACTAGCTATTTCAAAGATTTATAAAACACAATAATATAACAGTCCCTTACAACTCTTGTCAGTCCAGACATGCAGCTCCTGTGCAAGTTCAGGAATCACCAAGAAAGTTCGCCACCCTTGCCGTTTCTTTGATTTTAAAATGTCTCCAAAAATGTGATCTCCAATATACAAAATATCTTTGCCCTTGGCTCCCAACAGATCACAGATTGTATCAGATGAACCTGAAAAAATGAACATAAGAAAAAGATCTCCATGTTAAAGCCAGCAAAGTCCATACCCACTTAATACTGCGATTAATTTTACTCTTATTTGAGGGACAGACCTTTATAAAGACAAAGACTTGCCATTCTTCCTACCACTCTTTTTATTGCCTGTAAGATAAAGTCTTCAGCTCTACTGTGCTGATTAGAACTCTAATACCAAATCCTACACAATTCTATCTCAGCTTAAGTAAATATAACCTTCAAAAGCAACATCACCATTTTTTTTTAATCACACATCAGCCACTAAGTTAGCTTTGTTCAACTATTTAACATAATATGTATCTGTGCACACACAGGCTACTAGAAAACTCCTGAGAAGCACCCAAAATTATTCCAAAAAGCTAAAATAAATAGGTAAAATAAAGAGGTGGTGGCGGGGGGAGGGGGGTGGCTGAACCTACTAGTGAAAATAAAATTCTTTCTCCTTGATTTTTATCAATTTAGTGGGTGACTATTTACCTTTGGTAAACAGCATCTCTAAAATACTGAAGAGTACATGTAGCACTATGCTCAGAGAACACCAAAGTTTTCACAGTGAGGTCTAAGTGAAGATAATACTGTGCAAAAACATTAAATAAAATCTTTGGAAGTTTCTGACTTACCTCCTGAGTAGACAATGCCATGCTGTAGGGGGCCTGTGTATGTACCAATTTTCAGCTTGCCAGTTTTCTGTGTGAAAAGAATATGAACTTTGTAATACTTTATCATCCTGTTATAATATACCCACAGCACTACTTGGCAGGCAGCCAAAGTCATGGCACTCATTATGGCCATTAAATTAAAAGTATCTATTTTTCTTAGGGAGAGTGGGAGTGGGGGAAGAAGACAGATTACCCTCTCAACTTACAGTATCTACTTGACGCAATACCGTGCCTTCTCCGAAAAAGAGTGGTTTCCGTGCATCTACCAAGATCAGGTCAAAGTAGGACTGCCATGGTCGATGGGAGCTCCCAGGCTGGTGAAAGAGAATCAGTAAAAACCAAAACATCACTCCTTATCTTAAGACACTCACATGTAATCTTGTTCAAATATAAGGAATTCAGCAGTACTAAGTATAACCAGAAGTTCTCACTATTTAATTTTTAAAAATGCACTGTGTCTAATTATAAGCCACATCCTTCTGGAAACAGGTGTAAATAATTAATAAACTCAAGTATTATCTCTACAGCTGGGCGTGGTGGCACATACCTATAATCCCAGCAGCTTGGGAGGCTGGGGCAGGAAAATCCCAAGTTCAAAGCCAGCCTCAGTAACTTAGTGAGGCCCTAAGCAACTCAGTGAGACCCTGTCTCTAAATAAAATATAAAAAAGGGCAGGGGGTGTGGCTCAGTGGTTAAGCATTCTTAAGTTCAAATCCCTGGTTCCCCCCCAACCAAAGTAATCTCTACATTTTAAATCATTTAATCTCCTGAGTTCCAGTAACATATCACAGCAATTTAACATATGAAGGTGTGCTCACAATCTGAAATGTATGAAAAAGAGCTAGGGAGAGATGTAAGTCAATACTCAAGGGACAGATTAAGAGGGAGGTTTGATCATGGTTATACAAAATTACATACAAGAGGAAGTGAGGGGAAAGGGGAAAAAAAAAACAAGGGGGAGAAATGAATTACAGTAGATGGGGTAGAGAGAGAAGATGGGAGGGGAGGGGATGGGGGATAGTAGAGGATAGGAAAGGCAGCAGAATACAACAGACACTAGTATAGCAATATGTAAAACAGTGGACGTGTAACCGATGTGATGCTGCAATCTGTATACGGGGTAAAAATGGGAGTTCATAAACCACTTGAATCAAAGTGTGAAATATGATATGTCAAGAACTGTGTAATGTTTTGAACAACCAACAATAAAAATTAAAGGAAAAAAATTAAAAAAAAATAAATGCAACTTCATACAAAAAAAAAAAAAAGAGGGAGGTTTGATCAGCATTAGAACTAAAGTATATAAACTATTATGGACCATATCAGGAAATTTTATTTGTTCTTAGAGTGATGGTTCTACGTATATACTAGTCTTTGGTTCATATAACAAAGTAGTCACAATAATAATGTAGAAGTTATGCCCATTAAAATTATTTCTATCCTGAAGAGCAGTGCACATTAATTTGGGGTGATCTCAAAACAGGGATCTGCTGATTTTTATTCATAGAAGTCTAGGAATCAAATTCTACAAGTATATGACTGACTAAGTTGTAATGGGTATTCCTTAAATCTAAATATAGCCATACTGTGGGAATGAAGACTTCTTTGCTAAATACCAAAGTTAACTGTTCTTTGGGCACAAAACTCAGCAATGACTTAACAGCAGAATATAGAAACTGTCAAGAACACATATAAATTTTCTGTTCCTATTAACCAAATATATTTCTCAACCTGAAAAATTACTTTCATTGCTATACAAACTTCATAATTCCACACAGAACTTCTTAGGCATGAAATTATTCTGATCCAATCTTACTAAATTCCACTTGAATATCCTTTTTTTATTTCAATCTGCTGAATACTCAAATTGCTAATTGTTTTTCTTTTGTTAATGAGAATTAAAGAAAAGGTTTAAAATCTAGGACTATTCTGGGTAGTTCCCACCCAATTCCTTCCCCTAAATATTCCTGAATGATTAAATGCATTCATTATTACTACAGCAACGATCTATGAAGTTAATGAAATACCTTGGGGCCATGTGGGAAATCAAACAGGTAAGTCATAATTTTCTGGAAAAAAATGCAAAATAAGGTTCACATACTACTTTTGCAAAGGATATGCAATAATTGAAAAAAAATATCAAAACCTTTTCATAAAATGTCTTTTTTCAATATAGAATTCATTCACCACATTCTTGTCTCTTCTAGTTTATGGCAGTGGAAGCTAGAAATTAATACTTCATCATACGAGAAACCCCCCCCCAAAAAAAACCCCCGCAAAACCTTATGAGATTCTCAGATCTATACAGATTCATACATATATCCCTATCTATTTTTCCTAGAACACAAAATTTGAGATAAGGGGCATATAAGGTAGGGGCACAGAGAAAACTAATGACTTATGGAAATAATATATTTTAAAGTTTTTACAAAAATGAACTGGAGGGAGAACTTTTTACTAACACTATTAATTTGTAATTGTCTCAGCAAAAGTAAATAAGGAATTAATATTAGTTTTTTTCACATGCTTTAATCACACTAAAAAACAATTTTAAAAATAAGAGGTAGTGGGCCAGGGCTGTGGCTCAGTGGTTGAGCACTTGCCTCGCATGCGTGAGGCACTCGGTTCGAACCTCGGCACCACATACAAAAAATAAGTACATAAAATAAAGATACTGTATTCATCTACAACTAAGAAAATATTTTTTAAAAAAAGAGGTAGTAAATTCTGATATCTAAAATTCAAAAAATCTTTGTACGACTTACTACTATGGAGCTTCCAACATCAGGAAAGTACAGAAAGTAAAGGGTACGATTTCTTAGGTTTATACAAATGATGCTCCAAAGAGACACAGAAGCCATTTTAATCAGCACAAATATTTTAAACAGTCCCAAAATTAAAATCTTCAAGTAACCAACTAACCAACTATAATCAGGGAAAAGAGTCATAAAGAATAGAAAAAATTAGAAGGATTCTGATATGGCCCTTCTCCCTATACAGTTTTGCTTTTTTCACTCTGCTTTCAAAATAAGATGACAGAAACTACTTTCATTTAAAAACTTCTGTCCTCCTCATTATTTTCAAGGTTCTTTAGGCCAAAATAATTTCTCTGCATAATCAAAAAATATGAATATTAAGCACTTACATCTGTATATTTATAGTCACTGTTAGTGGCAAGAAATACTTTCCCTACTTCCTTCATCCGGCTCAAAAGCAAAGGCAGTTTTCCCTGAAATGCAGTAAAAACAAAACACTAAAACACAAATACTTTCATTTTGGGGTAGTCATATACTAGATTTTTGTCCCCTAAAATAGTGGGTAGGGTAAGTCTTTTAAAGATTAGTTGTTGGTTTCAGAATTTTGCATTTAAAAGCTCCCGTAAGCGTTATACATGAAAAAAAATCTTAATATATGTAGTATACAAACTGTACATAGCATCTAGATTCATATGTAAAATGACTATAAGGACATTAACATATTTCCACCTTTCTCATATGGTCTACCTCAAGAAAGAGTTTAAATTACCTGTGATTTCCTGAAGTATACGAGTTAGATGTGTTAGAAATCCGGAGAAGTTTATTTTAAACAACACCAGCAAATTTGCTATTGGAGATTATTAGACATAGCCACATTACGTATATACTAGGGTTTTACAAGCACCTTGCAGAATGTAATGGCAAGTCCAGATAAATCTAGAAATGCCCATGCCCACCTGCAGATAAGAAAATTCTAACTGCTGATATGTTTCTTTAACTGGAAAGAAAAACACCTTTTCCTTCTCTCACAATAAATAAATAGGTTCCTTTGCACAATTCTCCTGAACTATTTTGGTTTGGATATGAGGTATCTCCCAAAAGCTCAGGTGTGAGACAATGCAAGAAGGTTTAGAGAAGAAATGATTGGGTTAGAAGAGCCTTAACCCAATTAATGAATTAATTACCTGATGGGACTGAACCGTAACTGAAGTCAGGGGCTGTGTGGCTGGAAGAGGTGGGGCACCGAGGGCATGGCTCTGGGATATATTTTTTGTCTGGTGAGTGGAGTCTCTCTCTGCTTTCTGATCATCATGTGTGTGAGCCCTTCCCTCTGCCACACTCTTCTGCCATAATGTTCACCTCACCTTGAGCCCTGAGGAATGCAGCCTACTGTCTATGGGTTGAGACCTCTGAAACTGTGAGCCCCCAGTTAAACTCCCTCCTCTAAAATTGTTCTGGTTGGGTCCTATAGTCACAGCAGCAAAAAAAGCTGACTAAAATATGGACCCTCCCCACTTAGTGTTCTTCTTTGAAACAGTGTGGGAAACAGAGTGAAATAGGAAGTACAAATTCTGAAAATAAAAAATCTTTACTTTAGTGCTTGGAGAAAATATTGTATTCTGCTATTTACATGCTATAGAAAAGAAAGAAATGTCTGAACTTGAGACTCTGTATGTGTTTACTTTTTATTTTGAAACAATTTTAGCTTATAGAAAAGTTATGTGATTCTGCAATCTGTATATGGGGTAAAAATGGGAGCTCATAACCCGCTTGAATCAAATTGTGAAATATGATATATCAAGAACTATGTAATGTTTTGAACAGCCAACAATAAAAAATTAAAAAAAAAAAGAAAAGTTATAGAGGGGTTGGGGTTGTGGCTCAGAGACAGAGTGCTCGCCTAGCATGTGTGAGGCACTGGGTTCGATCCTCAGCACCACATAAACAAATAGATATTGTGTCCACCCAAACTAAAAAGTAAAAAAAAAAGTTATTGAAATAAGAGTTCCCCGGTATTCTTCCTTAAGCTTTTATTAATAGTAACATCTTATTTAATCACAGTATAATTGCCAAACCTAAAATATTGGTAAGATACTATTAATTTATTACATTATATTTTTAAAAAATGTAATGTTTCCCACTAATCTTTTAAGGTATTTTAAAGCCTTCCTCAATATTTCCTATTGATAAGTTAAAGGTATTTTATTTTTCAAAATTTTTTTTTAAGTTCTTGATGGTTCTTTTTTAACTTATACGCAGTGCTGAGAATCAAACCCAGTGCTTCACACATGCTAGGCAAGCACTCTACCACTAAGCCACAACCCCAGCCCAAGGTACTTTAAATAACAGTCATATACATGCACATTTTTTTAGATGGTCCAGTGTCTAGTATAATGCTTCTGATTTAAGTCAGATTTGGGTGTGAATCTTGCCTTTACTATTTACTAACTGTGTAATCTTAGGGAAGATATTTAATTCCTCTATTTCTTAGTTTTTTCATTTATAAAACAGATATAACAATAATATATTAGATGATATAATGGTGATATACACACAGTAACCCCCTAGTTGCTATGTTATAATTAGATCTAAAAGGACAAATGAAATACTAGGTCTTCTTGCTTACTAATCACACAAAAAACTAAGACCTATGTTCTAGTTATTCTTGGTGATTATACCTTGCACATACTATGTCACAACAAAGAACTATCTTCCTTGTCCATTTCATTATGAACAGGCTTATTATTCATTTCTTTAATAGGTAAAATAAGCTATATAGATCTGTTTCTCCCTTTATTACTTACATCTTTGACTACATACTTCTCAAGATTTTCAACTGTCTTTTCCTTAAGGGAGCCCTGGGGAAAAGAAAAAAAAAAAAAGCTAAGAAAATAACAAAATAAGTTTTTTTTTAACATTTAGTTCACAATAAAAATTGTATTTACTGTCAACCAGAATGAACTTAAGTGTTTACCAAAATGGAAAAAACAAATAAAACTAGAGGGTTAGGAAAAAGTAGTAGATATGATTTGCTGCAACTTGCCACCAAAATCTGTCTTCAAATATGAAACTGTCTACTTTTCTGCAAAGATTTGTTAAATATAATCTTTTACACAAAAATCTCTTCTAAGTCAGTTTGAGAAATGAAAACTCATTTAAATCTAGAAGCCAAGTTTCACCAAGTGAGGAAAAGTGGCTAGGATGACCAAACAAGAACAAATATATTCTAGAGATCTATCATTAGGCGGGAAATCCCTTCAGCCCCAACCCATTTTTATAAATGGAAGAAAAATTTTACTCCATTTGCACTTGAAAAGTAAAGACATGCCAGACAGTAAGCAGGGGAAGAAGCAGCTTCTGAGTACCTTGTAATGAACCCAGTCAACAGCATCTCTTACATCTTGGAACATACTCCGGTAGGACATGAAGAGGTCCCCATCTTTAAATCCTGTCTCACAGCTACAGAAAGATAAAAAGAATGTGACAGGGAATTCAAAAGAGGATAAATAAAATGAATGACAAAAGTTACCCAGGGGACTCAAAGATTCCAATATCATATGGGTATGGCTGTGGCTAATTAGGAAAATAATTACTCCCTAATAAAAATCCATTTTTGACCACCAGAAATTGCCATATGTTCAATGGAATACAATAACTCTGAACAAATACAAAGTGATAGAATAATATATAGAATGGAAGCTAAAAGGTCAAAGTAATAAAATATCAGGTTTTTATTCATAACTTTTTAGAAACAGGTTCTCACTGAAGAAACATCTAAAACGTACAATTGGTCATTTAGGTTCTTTCTACCCTGACTTCTTTCTGACATTGTCCCTAGGTATAAAGATAATGTCCATTTTCTTAGTGACTCAGCCTTCCACCAAATTTAGTGTCTTGAGTGGGTAAGGACTAACATAAGAAGTTAGCAAACTCTGACATATATGGCTACACCTTCAGCAAAGGCTATCCAATTCCCTATAAAAATAGAGGATAATTTATTCAAGACTTAAGCAAAAAATTGCTTCAGGGAAAATAAGCAGTATTTATTCCTCAATGAAATCTTGCTGGGCCTGGGAATGAAACTAAATTACCATCCCTGAATGGCTCCTGGGTAGCTGCTGTGAAATGAGTCGGGGGGTTTTAGTGTAATTCTGCTTGGACAGATAATCATCACACAAACCTCCCACTCAGTTGTCACAATTAGCACCTCTGCTGGCCGTCTTCATTCCCAGGAGAAGCCAATCAGAAGTGGTCCCTTCCAAACATGGCTGCAGCACACTGGCAAGGAGAGGGGCCGTGTGGGAGGTGAGAGCCTGCATGGAGCTGCTGGTGCTGTCCCATCTCCAGGCTGGCAATGTGGCATCTCTCACTAGCACTAAATTCACTTTAGAAAAGCAGAAAAGACCTACAATGGCCAGTTCTCTAAAACCCTGTACATTAATTTTAAAAATCAACTGGAAAAAGAAAATTGTAGCATATACACACCTGGTATATCTGGGACAATTAGTAAAAAAATCTACTAGGCAGGCCAACAGGTAGGTCTCTGAAAAATGAAGAATAGATATTCATAAGCTATAAGTGAAATAATTCAAACATTTTATTATCTCCTTTGAGCAAAGACAAATGATTATGGAAAGAAGGGAAAGTACCAATATATAAGCATAGAATGAGTCTACCTGGTAGATTGAATAGTGTGTTCAGAATGTAAAATCTTTCAGTGTCATCTCGTTGAATAAATTTATTTGGATACTGCTCTCTAGTTTCTGGCCTGAAAGAAAAATTTTAAAAATTGACATTCAAAAAATTAACATGACTGGAGAATATTCATTATTCAAAAATTCATTCTAGGGTCTGGGGTTGTGGCTCAGTGGTAGAGCACTTGCCTAGCACCTGTGAGGCACTGGGTTTGATCCTCAGCACCACATAAAAACAAATAGAGAAAAGTATTGTGTTCATTTACAACTAAAAAAAATAATAATTCATTCAAATATTTTGATGGTTATGTACAACACAGGGTTCCAAATATTAAACATGGGGTACTAGAATATGAACAAGCTCAAGTTCTAGCCTTAAAGAGTTCTCAGTCTGGGAGGGAGAAACATACACATTTAAGTATAATAAGATTTTTTAAAAATCACAACTACTACAAGAAAGCTGCAAAGAGCTGTAAGAAAACTGAGGAAGGGGAAATCATTTCAACTTAAGGGGTAGAGAGAAGCAAATGAGAGAAGGAATTGGAAAATCTAGGATTCATGAAAGAGGTGACATATAAGCTAAGCCTTAAAAGCTAAGAGGACCAGCTGAGAAACAAGTCCAATTTTAGTACAGGTAGTGAAGCAGAGAAAAAAACAAAACAAAACAAAAAAACAGCCAGAAAGATGGGCTGAGGCAGATTATGCCACTGTTCTTACACTTCATTCAGGAATAAGACAGTATTACTTATAGTTTTTACACAAAGGGATTCAACTCATCAGAATTAAATTTTAAGAAGATTAAATTGGTATCAGTTTTGGAATAAACTGCAGAAAGAAAATGCAATAAATGGCCCAAAATTCTTCCCAACACTTTGCAATGCAACTTTATGGTTTCTCCCATTAGAACTTCAGTCTATTTCTTCATCCTTAAACATAGGTGTGAATAGCAGCAAATGGGATCTAAGCAAACTTGGAAGACACTGTGCACAATGGCTTGCCCTCTCCTGCTGCACATGGAACCCTGAGACTACTATGTGAATAACAATGAAATGGTCCACCAGGAGATAAAAGGATACATGAAGAAATGAGGAACACAGCCAACAGCCTGCCAGTTGCCAGACCTGTGAGTGAGGCTATTCTAGATCAGCTGCCAGCTGATCCACCAGCTGACCACAGACATAAGAAACAGCCCAGAGATATCAGCTGAACAATCCTAGAATTGCACAGCTGACTTTCATAATTTAGAGCTAAATAAAATAGTCACTATTTTTTTAAGTTGCTAATGAAACTTTATTTTATTTATTTATATGCAGTGCGGAGAACCTAGTGCCCCACACATGCTAGGCAGGCACTCTACTACTGGGCCACCACCCTAGCCCCCAAATTGTCATTATTTTAAGTCACCAAGTTTGGGAATAATTTATTATGCAACAAAAGTCATCTATAGAAAGTAACAGAAAATCAGTTAGGTGGTTAATGCAGTAGTCATGAGACTAGTAGAGCCTGTCCTAGCATGCTATCAGAGGAAAATAAAGGAATAAATGCATTTTGAGAGACTGCTGAGGAAATGAATAAGACCAGGCAACTGTATGGGTGTGGTAAATGAGAGACCTAAGAGTCAAAAATAATGACAATTATGCTTAGGTATCTCTTGAGAAGTGATTGGAACTGCTAATAAAACATGATGGCTCTTGGTTTAATCCCCAGTACTACAAAAAAAAAATATCTGGATAAGAAGTGGACATAAAAGTAGTTCTATTTTGGCTATACGAAGCTTGAAGTAAAAAAGATTCATAGTAGGCAATCAGAAACAAAGATCAAGATTTTAAAACAAAGAGTCAAATCTGAAAGATAAATGGAATCATATATTCACCGGTAATAGATGAAATCATGAAAACTAATAAAGAAACTGAAATTGGAACCATGGAGGATATTTAAGGTGTAAAGAAAAAGTCAGTGAAAGAAATTAAAGATGCACAAGAAGCTTGTGAGTGAAATGAAACACTTCAAGAAAAAGAAGGGAACAATATTAATAAAAAATATTTCAGAAAAGCTAAAACAGACAAAGACTAAAATATGAAGATGTAAAATTCTCAAACCAGATGTGGTGTGACACACCTGTAACCCCAGCGGCCCAGGAGGCTGAGGCAGGAGGATTGCAAGTTCAAAGCCAGCCTCAGCAAAAGCAAGGCACTCAATGACTAAATGAGACCCTGTCTCTGAATAAAATACAAAATAGGGCTGGGGATGTGGCTCAGTGGTCAAGTACCCCGAGTTCAATCCCTGGTACCCAAATAAATAAATAAATAAATGTATAATTCTCAGTGAATTTATGAAAATTAACATATCTAAATAAAAGAAATCAAAGTTAACACTGAGTGACTTGGGTAAATTTCTGCTTCAATTTGTTAACTGCAAATGGTATAAATTCCAGTTAGGCATATAAAATCTTATTATCATCCTGTCTTAGTTTCCTCTTAGTCATCCTTCTGAAATAAGAGGTCCTAATAAAAAATAACTTTGTAGAATACCTCATCTTCTAGTCTTCCAAATTTTATGTAATGAAAAATAAGAGGGAAGGGAATAACAATACATATTCCTCAGTGAAGTTTAGTAAGATGACATTGTTTTCTTAAATGTAATATACTGTTCCATCAGTAAAGAGCAATTCCTCTATAGAGACAGTTAACATTTATTAGGCAGTTACTACCCAAATTGACATATATGCAGTTAGAAATTATATTTTGTTTAAATATCAAATCATGCTGGTATATATTTAAAATTAAAAAATCAACTCAGGGAGAGGTAATACACCATAAAAGTAGGACAGTGCACTCAGAGTAGGAAGAAAATAATTTAGTGCAGATTACTGCTAACTTTCTGTGACCCACAAAATAACAGCTTTTTGGGGGCTGGAGTTGGAGCTCTGTGGTAGAGCACTTGTTTCATACGTATGAGGCACTGCATTCAATTCCCAGAACACATATAAATAAGCAAATAAAATAAAGATCCATCAACAACTAAAAAATATTTTTTAAAAATAACTTAATTTTCTGAAAAATTAATTTCCAAATTATTAGCAAGACATGTGATGCCAGATGAAGCCCTGACTTCTTTTGGCCCTGTCCATCAATAACCATTTCTCCCATTTTATCCATCTTGTTTCTCCTTTCCAAGGACTTTCCCTTTTGACTCAAAGAACTGTAGTGTGTTGTTTGAATGATTCTGCATTTACTCATAAATTACATGTTTTTGAAACACCATTAAATATGTTTCCAGAGGAGCTACTTGGAAACCTTACTGAGGAAGAGAGGTAGGTGGTTGTGAATCTTGAATTAGTAAATGTGACTGTAAAGCTAAATTAATGAACTGCTTTTCTTCTCCATCTACCCCTCCATTAATACAAAAATTCATTTTCAGACATTTGAAAACTGGTTCATCCTCATTGATATTCCGAATAAAAGCGACAACATTTGTAAATAAAAGAGCTTAGGTTACTAGTACTACATGTAGTCATTTTATGTTTAAATCCTGCTTCTTGATATTTGTGAATGTTGAAAAACCCCAATGAAAGGAACAGTGGGTATAACCTTTCTGGCCTGCCCAGATAGGTCAAGGTGGATGTTTACTTCACACTGTTCTCTGTATGTATTATATGGGACATCTCTGAGCATATGTAATGTCAATAATACCTGAAGAGTATTATATCAGATGGTCAAATTCTAAGTGGGACACTACTATGACCTCAGATTTTAAAAGTTTGGTACAATGTCTTCTGGCAAGTACCTTTTGTGATAAGAGGCACTCAGTTACCTCCTACCTCTTACCACAAAAGGTATTTGCCAAAAGACATTGTCTTTCTATTTACAACTCTGCTGTCAAGAATGAATAACAGCCAGGTGAAGTGGCACACACCTGTGAAGACAACAGGATCAAAAGCTAAAGGCCAGTCTGTGTAACTTAGGGAGATCCTGTCTCAAAATAAAATGGAAAAGGTCTGGGGATGTAGTTCAGTGACAGAGTACTTGCCTTGCATGTGCAATGCCCTGGGTTCAATCCTTAGTACTCCAAAATAAATAGATAAATAAAAATAGAAGTTGCTGTTCTGTCATACTGTGTCAGTATGTAAATACTGTGTCAGGCAGTAAATAGAGAAAACATAAAGTCATAATTATAGCAGTTGTCAAATTGTGATATTGTGATTTTTTAAAAGAAAAAACTGATATGTTTCACTAAAAAAATTGTATACACCAAATGTTTTTATCTGCTATTTTCCAGGTTGAAAACTCAAATTAGTGACATAATATCCTGATTATGAAAATAAAGTTTATCCTTGTTTTATATATCATTACTCTTTCCCTCTATTTTTTGAGTTGAGTAATAAATGTAGATGCAAATTATATTTTGTTTAAAGTAAGTGAATTTTAGTTATACAGCATCCAGTAAAGCTTTTTTCCTTCTTCTTTTTACAGTACTACTATGGATTAAAGCCAGGGCTTCATGCATGCCAGGCAAGTGCTCCACCATTGAGTTATATCCTCAACACCCTTGTATTTTTATTTTAAGACAGGGTCTGACCAAATTGGCCCAGGCTGCCCTCAAACTTATGATCCTCCTTAGCCTTCCAGAATCTGGGGTGTGCACCACTATACCTGGATCAACAAGAGTTAACCTTGAAACTTGTTTGAGCTCAAGGACCCTCTGTCTCAGCCTCCTATGTAGATGGAAATACAGGCACACGCCACTATGCCCCGCTTTTCTTGTATTCATTTTTTTAAATATTTATTTTTTAGCTGTAGTTGGACACAATACCTTTGTTTTATTTATTTTTATATGGGGCTAAGGATGAACCTAGGGTCTCGCATGTGCTAAGTGAACTCCATCCTCCTTGTATTCATTTTTATCCCTATGTTTAAAAAAATTTTTTTAACCGTATGAACATCTGAAGCTATTTATTAGAACGTTAAAAAAACAATGTATTAGCTTTTAAAAATCTTTATTAAATTGCTATAGTTTAACCACTGAGCCACATCCCCAGCCCATTCCCCCGCTTTTTGTATTTTTTATTTTGAGACAGGCTCTGGCTAAATTGCTTAGAGCCTAGCTAAGTTGCTGAGGCTGGCTTTGAACTTGTGATCCTCCATGCTAGGGATTGAATCTGAGGTGTCACACATGGTAGGCAAAAGTGCTTTATCATTGAGCTACATCCCCAGTCCAGGAATAATTCTTTAAAATAAATAGGAAAGTACATCTCATCTGGAAAGACAATGTCATTTTCATATTGTTTGACTATAGAAAAAACAAACAAACAAACTCTAGAAAGAGACTGAACATTCTTTGTACTTACCCTCTTATGAAGTTAAATCCATGTGCACAGACCAAGAGGTTTCCATAGGCATCGACTTTCAAAAGATTTCCATATAATGTGTCAAAGACAAGTCCTCTATGTGAAAATAATGGCATCATTGATAATGCAAAGTAATATGTGCAATAGTTTTATATAGTACTACTCAATCACTATAAGCCAACGTCCTCTAACTCAAGCTTTGTAGCGACTTAGGTGTATTCTAAAACAATATAACCTTAGAGGCTAAAGTATGTAAATAAAATCTTTAAAATAAATCCCAGAGCAATTACAAATATTTATTCCAGATAAGTAATCATAAATGTTTTCTATTATGAATAAGGGCTTAATCAAACAGTATAAACTATAATTTCTACCAATACAACTGATATCATTCTAAAATAGTCTTTCCATTTCCTGGGATAAGTGAGCTGTCCTATATTTCTCTCTTTTAAAAAAATTATTTTTTAATTGTAATTGGACACAATAGCTTTATTTTGTTTATTTATTTTTATGTGGTGCTGAAGATCTCCCACATGCTAGGCGAGTGCTCTGCCACTGAGCCACAACTCCAGCCCCGATTTTTCTCTTTTTGACACTGTGAGATATATATCATGGTATTTCAAATAAATATCATATTTTTTTTGAGGGGTCCATACTGGGAATTTAACCACTGAATACATCCCAAGCCCTTTTCAGTTTTTATTTTGAGACAGCGTCTCACTTAGTTGCTGAGCTGGCTTTGAACCTGTGATCCTCCTGCCTCAGTCTCTGGAGCCACTGAAATTACAGGTGTGTACTACCACACCTGGCAATATCATCTTCTGTGATTTTAATTTTTGGGGGAGGGGGCAGTACTGGGAGTACTGGGGATTGATCCTGGAGCCTTAAACATACTAGCCAAGCACTCTACCACTAAGCTACATCCCCAGCCCTTTTTTTCTATATTTTATTTGGAAATGTGGTTTTGCTAAATTGCTCAGGCAGGCCTCAAACTTGCAATTCTGCTGCCTTAGCCTCCCAAATCACTGAGATTATGGACATGCCTTACAACACCCAGTTTAACCCTAAATCTTCCCTATCAAATCCAGAAATGCAAACGGTCTAAGGTGGCTCTAAGTATCTAGTAATTGTATTAGTAAAACACATAACTGCTCTCTAAAAGCCAAAGGTAGGACAGATAGGACCATCTGTGATGCTGCCCATCAGGATATTGGTTTTGGTACTAGAGATTGAACCTGGGCGCTTTACCACGGAGTTACATTCACAGTGTTTTTTATTTTTTGAGACCACCTCTCACTAAGTTACTGAAGCAGGCCTTGATCTTCTAAGCCTCCTGCTTCTGCTTCCCACATCACTGGAATTACAGACATGCACCACTGCACCAAGCACCATCAGGTGCTTTCTCATATCCCTAAGTAGGTCATCTTCAACAGCAATAAACCGAGTTCAATTCAAGAACACAGAAGATATAGTATATATGAAAGGTTTGTGGTAATTCTAGAATTAATACCAACCCAAAACAACAAGGTATTATGTGATATATTCTTTTAGTCAGGGATAAATTTGGAATTACTAATTTGAGGGATAGAGGAAGTGGTCTTAAGATAAAAATATCTTGAAAAATTACCTGGTAGGGAATGTAGAATCATAAGCAAAGCTGAGCAGCTCCTGGGGGTAGCCAATAGAAACTAATCTCTCCACAGTAAGCTCAAAGCCAAGGGATTCATACTCCGGGGACTTGTATACTGCACAAAGAGGAGGTTCTTATTAGTCAGCATAAAGAACAGCCCATTAAAAGAAGGCAAACAAGTGTGTTTCTACTCTTTCCTAATTTTTCCTTCCTCCTCAGTCTGCCATTTCTTTTTTCCCCCCTCAAATTCTATGTTTTGCACAGCCCCCATTAATTAAGAGAATTCAATTATTAATCTGTAGAAATCATTCATATTATATCAGGAGCAGCAGTTAAAAGAAATATCAAACATTTCAAAATAGTCCCTTCATTCTCAGGAAACCTAAACATTTTTTTTCTTTTATCTACTCTTTCACTCTCACAATCTGAAGGCAAAAAGAATATAGCTGTGATATTAACTGTAAGAAAATAAGTAAACAGAAAAGTAGATAAGAGAAGTCTGGGTTTGTCAAAGGCTTCAGTGATGTTCACAACTGACGTAGGAATCTTCAAAATGAGCTTTTTTTAAAGTTTATTTATTAAATTCCTATTTGGTTTAATATTTGCTTTATACTCCTTTAATCAATATATCTGTTCTACTTGTCAGATTAACTTGTTTTTTATCAGCTCTAACAATCTTATAGGCTTCAAAATTGCATTTTATAAAGAATTACTACAAACCAACCATAAAAAGACATGCCTGAGACAACAGGAAAATCCATATGAACTGGGAATTAGGTATTAAAGAATCATGACTTCTTTTATTAGACATGATTATGGCAGGGTGGATACATGCAAGTATGTGTAAAAAAAAAAAAGTATATATAATTTCTCTTTATCTGCTAAAGGAGCGTTTGTTATAGGTCAAAAAGCATGGATTTCAGATTATAGAGATTTCTCTCTACTACTGTATATGTCTGAAATTTTCCACAATGAACAAACTTTTTAAAATTATCACTGTAGTTCACCATAAAGAAAATGTTGCTCCTTTAAATAGGCTTCTCCCAAATGAAATATTTAGGTTACTAATATTCCATCAGTCTCTAGGAATAGGTAAGCCGCACTGAAAATAAAAATAAAATAAAGACCTGCTTAATTTGTTTAATGCCAAATGTGGCAATTAAACAATTATCCACCCTATCCACCCTATTTTTGCAGTCTCACAATAATGCAGCAATTATTATAGTTCTTCCATCTATTTAGCCTATAGCTCAAACTGATTTTTTTTATTTGATACTTTTAGATATACATGATAGTAGGGTGTATTTTGACATATTATACATACATGGAGAGCAACACATTCCAATTAGGATCCCATTCTTGTGGTTGTACATGATGTGGATCAAACTGATTTTTCATTGCAATTAGTTTGCCTGTTCAAGTTAGTGTTAATATTTTAGTGAGTACAGTTCAACTTTCCCTTTCTAAAAGTAATCTTTAGAATATTTTGGGAACTATATAAGAAGCTGGTAATGCTACTTGTCTCCAAAAAAGGGAAGTGAATGGCAATGTTACAAGGTAAGGAAGGAGAGCTCCGTGTATGCTCTGTACTTTAAAACTTGTAACATATTGATGTAGTTATCTGTTTTTTAAACTGAAATCTTAAAAAAGCAAGCTGGTCTTTTAAAATCCTTTAATAAACATTGTCAGATTAAAAGAAAAATTCTAAGGTGCTTCTAGAGATCCTTGCATTTCATCTCATCAGAACAACACCAAAAGAAGTCATATTTTTTCCTTTTGTTGTTTTGGGGGTAATAGTAATCCAATGCCAATAACTCTAGATAACATTTTCAAAGCTGGTTGTATTTATTTCCCCCTCAACTCCTGCTTTATACCCCATTCCACCCTCCCTCCCAACACAAACATACACATACATACACACACCTTAAAACCTCATGTGTGGAATTCCTGAATCTGTACGACACACACTGCAGTAAAGGAAGTGCTACATGTACAAAACTGTTAACAGAGTAAAAGCTGATGACCCAGTAAGGCCTGCTACCCAATGATGTAAATTTGAGTTAGGCTGAAAATATAAACTAACATTTCTCACCTGGCTTTCCCTGCCATGTCTCCCACCAATTGACAGTTGTCCCTACTTGAACAAAATTACCATAAAACAAAAATTGCTTCTTCCTAACCAAAGCCCCAGTTATTTCAAACAATACTTAATGACATAAAATTCCTGTACAGATAAATAATTTGGGTAACCTACCAACATTAATTGGTACAAAATGTTGGTACAAAATGTTTTCTATTAGTTTTTCAGGAGGATAATTTGTGGTATTAAGAATGGAGAATGAAAAATAAATCATAACCACCCTCATACAAGCTCACCTCTAAATCACCAATTTTCCCTAGTTAGACATTATGGAGTGATGGAGTAATCTGTGATTGTAAACTATGTGTATGAGACATTTTGGACGGAAGAGTTCAGATTAATTTACTGAGAATTTTTTAGTGAGAAAAAATACAGGGGAAAAAAATCTCAATGCCCCATTTTTCTAGTGTATTAGAAAATAAAACACTATATATTTATTTGCCACACTGCATTTATTCACAGGGCAGAATATCCAAGTGTTCAACTGAGGTGACTTTCTAGAAGTTCAACCTAGAAACAAGTGCTTTCAAAATTTCCTTTCCCTCAATGAGTTCAGGGTACTTCCCAGAAACAGGATATATTCTCCCTGTCTGCTAACCTGAAGTTACACTGCCAAGTACAAACAGCACTCAAATCAGAATTTAGATTTCTGAGTTTCATCCCAAACTCTCTGTGGTGGGGAATACAACCACTGCTATGAATTTATACATTTCATAACCATCAAACTTTAAGCTTGGATGCTGAAATATGCTACTTCAATTTCTTTCAACTGGTCCAAAATAAAGTGATCTAGTCTCAGGTGGGAATCAATCTCTTAAAGTCCAAGTTCCATTTTCATAACACCATCTTTTTCATTAAGCTGTAAGACCCACAAAAGTACAGATATTTTCTCATAAGCTTACTGGATAACCAATTCAGTAATACAAACTCTGGGTTATTAAATCATCTGACAGCTATACAAAATACAACCACTACTTCAGAAGCAGAACTGAAGCTTTTCAGGGCATGAATTTAGATGTTCTATTCTGTTTTCCCTTGGGAGTAAATATTTTTTTCTTCTGACCTGTTGATAAAAATTCCTGAAGCTTAAAGAGTACCACCATTCCTTAAAAAAGTAAAGATTAAAAAGCAGAACTCCTTTTCTGATCAACCAGACCCTTCAAAGCCAGTCTCCATTTGCAGGCAACTGTATCTATCACCTCAGACTGTGGAGCTCTATGCCTCTCTACAGTTTGTACAAAGGCTCTAATTTCAATTTCTTACAAAACGGTGGCAAGTAAATGATGCAGAGTTTTAAGTTCCACTCTTAAAGTTAACCTTCTGTGGTTCCAAAACCTACCCTGAAACTTCAGGGTAAGTATAACCTTGCACATTAACTGCTTATTTATTCTCTAAGATGGTCTTCGGGGCTACCCCCAACTTACTCAATATCCAAAGACAAAGAAAGAAATTGTTTTAAGGGCCAGAGTCCAAAAAAGAGGACTGCTTCAGCCACTAGGACAGCACAGAGTGTTCTCAGGTTACGTAACTAGACTATAAAGAGAACAACCAAAGCTTTGAAAGTTGAAGCTACTGAGAGCATTTAAAAGATACTCTTTACTCCATAATCTGCAAGGGGGAAAAAAACAAAAACAAAAAACAGCTCTTCAAAAATAAATGTGTGTGGGGATGAAAGTTGTAGGCTTTGTTCTGAGTAGATGCAGCTCACACAAAAAAGAATCTACAGGGAGATATTCCTTTAGAATGAGCAGAAACTTCCTTCGGGGAAATTTGGAATTCTCATGCATTTTTTACCTTTGCCACCAAGATATACTGTGTAGTAATTTATAGATTTCAGAAAAATAAAGGGCAAACCTCTACAGAGGTTCCAGCCTAGCAGAGTGCTGCTGCCAAAATGAGAACTCACATGAGGCAGATGCAGATGCAGTGTGTGTCACTCCAGTCTTGAAGGAGTTACACTGGCTCTCCTGTTAAAAAAACAAAACAAAGCAACAAAACAAAACAAAAACAAAAACAAAAGCTGGTTTTAAAACTGTTGTGATGGGCTGGAACAGAGAGACACCATTTGGAAATTGGTATTTATAGGAGTTACCACTGCCCTCCAATTTAGAAGCCTCTGATCATCACTAAAATTAACCTAATTTGCCAATAAGAGTTTTGAAGATAAGCCTAAGCATTGTGTATTATTTCTTTTTCTGGCACCCTGAGTCTGGAAATACAAGCCAATTCTGATCCTGACATATTAAGCCAAAAGAAAACAGAAAAATAAAGCCATTTGTCTTAGTTTATTTTCTCTAGCACATTTCAGGTTAGTAGAATAGAAAACAAATGCAGCTGGTAAATGGTGTTTAAAATTGAACAATGTCTAGAGAGAGATTAAATTAAGGATACAAAAACAAACCAAAGCAGTACCATCTTGCTTTCAAGTACCCATTTAAGTTGAGTCTACCTATACCAACTTCTCTACCTTCTAACACCTAAATCCATCATCTTCATATGGACTAGAACCAACTGCATGCTGCAGATGTCTAGACGTGGAATGGAAGAAGGGGGAAAGTTTTTTTTATTCTGTCAGTGGATATTTGTCCTCAGTAAATGTTATTACAATAATCTTTATAAGGGTCCAGGAAATTACCTAGTCTAGTAAAAATACTGAGCTGAAGATACGTACATAATCCTTTAAATATATTGATACTGTAGGGGCTAGAGTTGTAGCTCAGTGGTAGAGTGCTTGCCTAGCATGTGTGAGGCATTCATTGGGTTCAATTCTCAGCATCACATATAAATAAATAAAAAGGTCTACTAACAATTAAAAAAAATTTTTATATATATATTGAAACTTTAAAGATACCTTTACAGGGAGTCATTTTCCCCAGAGACATTTACATTTTGAAAACATGTGGTTGGACTCCTCAAACTCCTGGGAGGTTTGTGTGGGGGTACTCAATAGAAAAGTAGAAATGGTCAAATGTAATGCCTAAAAGTTCTGAAAACACTACAACTGGAAGAAACCACGATTAATAGTCCCTTTATAAAATAAATCCCAATCCAACTACCCACAGTCATATGCTTTCATGCTTTAAGTCTAAAAATTATCAGCACTTTCTAGTAATTAGGATATACAATGTTGGTTCTCTGCTATTATAACTAGAAAAGGTAATAAAACACATTTTTTTCCACTGAGAAAATGTTAAATAAAATCTTTCCAATTATCATATAAACAGGCACCAGAGAACTTTTTCCATTTTTCAAAACCATGTGAAAATCCTTAAAACAAAAACAGAGAAAGGCAAAAGATCACAAATGATCTAAAAAAAGATTTATTAAAGTTTAAGATTATCTCAATTTTATTTACTTAAAATAAGAAACCTATATACCATATAACACTTTCAGTAATGTAAAATAAGTTCCCAAGGGCTGGGGCTGTAGTTCAGTGGCAGAGCACTTGCCTAGCATGTGTGAGGCACTGGGTTTGATCCTCAGTACCACACTAAAAAATAAAGGCATGCGGCCGGCCCATCTACAACTATAAAAAAGATTAAAAAAAAAAAAAAAAAGTTCCCAAATGATTAGATACGTAAATAAGTAAGCGGAGTTTGAGAGACTGCCAATATTTCAGTTCTTACAAAGACAAAATTAAATGGTAGCTAAAAAATTTGTTTAAAAATAATAAGAATATTATTAGAATGTTTATTTTAATAAAAGGAAAAAATTACCTAGCTCGAAAATTTCTCCTCTAAGAATCTGTACTTATTAGGCCTTGCATTTTCAATAGTTTTCAATTTAAGACTGAAAAAGTAAAAATTTTTGAGATAATTGCTTTTTAAAAAATCCTGTTTAAACAAGGTTGCTTGTAATAAAAGAATAAATATAGCTAATACTTTTTTTTTTTCCAAAAATAAAACCAATTATGGCACTCAAATGCCAATTCTAAAGTTAGAGGAATTTAACAAACATTTGTATACATAACAAACATCTGTGTACCAGGTACTAGCTACTTATAACAAGAAACAAAATAGCTCATGGTCCTTAGCCTGAAGAAACATACAGCTCATGTTGTATTACAGGGATATACAATTACATATTTATAAGTTTTAGAAGATCTGTAACATAACTAAGAAGATATAGAGAGAAGGAAAAGGGGCCAATTAACTCAGTCTAGGAAATCAGTCCTTAAAACCTGTAAGATTTATTCAGGCTAATACTGATAACTCGTTTTAATGACCAGTATCTCAAGGTACTATAAAATTTACCTAATAAACTTTCTGAGATTCAGATTCATCTAACATGTTCCAAACTGCATCAGAGTCAACCAAATGAACTGATGTGTGAAATGGGCCAAGTAAGGATGCACATTTTACCTGAAGAAAGAAGTAGCTACTCAACTGTAGCTGAGGGAACAGGGAACTGTGAGAATGACAGCCAAATATTGCCAACTGTATGAAAAGAGCCAAGCTAGTTTTCTTTTTTTTAACCTATAATCTCCAATTTTAAAATAATGACCCAATTAAGTAAACAAACATATATTCTTTTATATCCTATGGTCTGAGTTGGGTCCATCGGCCAACCTAACATATATTTTAGGTCAGATACTTCCACATAAGTTATCTAAATTTTTTTAAAGATGTTCATGGACCTTTATTTTATTCATTTATTTATATGCAGTGCTGAGAATCAAACCCAGTGCCTCACACATGCTAGGTAAGTGCTCTACCACTGAGCCACAACCCCATCTAGCTCTTGACTGAAATGTTTTGACTATCTTCTTCAAAATCTTAAAGAATGAAACAGAACTTAGATACTTAATGAACTGGAAATGTAAGTGGAAATAAATTCACAAAGTGTCCTAGGTAATGTTGTTCTATTCATCCCAAGGAAGGATTGAGGGGCAGGGGGGGATTAAAAAAAAAATAAACTTAGGAAAAATAAAAACCTTGATACAGTCATTTGATGTGGCCCCCTACAATGTCAAAAATATTGTAAAATAGGGACCTGGTTCTTTCACATGACCGTCAAAACCGGAAAAAAATGTTCTGAGTGATGGAATCACAAGGTCCTTATGATTTTAGAAGTTTTCCCAGACCTAGCAGGTTTTATCCATAAGGTTTAACCTAAATTTTTGCAACAGAGCTTGATTCCATTGTCATATGTCCTTTCCTCAGTTGGACACATAAAGCAAATATTCAGAGAACGTGAAAGCAGAAAAGATATAATGAATTGAAGGTAGTTATTATGTTAGAACAATTTTGAAAACAAGTTTAGCAATACTGAAAATAGACCATGACACTAAGAAGAAAAAAGGTTTCTCTTATTAAATGCAACTAACATAAGACAATTAGTCGCGCGCGCGCACACACACACACACACACACACAAATCTGGCTTACATCTGAATGCTTTGTGATTGGTGATAGAAAGTAAAAATCACAAACACTAGTAATAAACACTAGTAACTGATTATTTCTATCACTTACCATGTAATAGAGAAGATGGAATTGGGTTTTATTAAGCAATCTTTTTAATTTCCTAATGATCTAGAAACAAACCACATATTATGGCAATTCAAGAGAGATTAATTTAATACTAATGAAAACCTTAACTGGGATATAGACTTGACATAAAGGAAATCAAAGCTTGAATAATAAGTACAGGCTTAAATACATGATAGGAGTGCCTAAAAGTAATCTTAATGTAATATAAGTGTATAATCTTAAAATAATAGTCAAGGGTGTTTATTTCAAATCATACAAAGAATTTTCATCCCTTACATGCAAATTTCTTGCATATGGACAATTTGTTTGGAGGCCTATGGGAAAATATGCAAATTCTATATTTTCCAAGTCGTGGGAAAGATAACTTGAATACTTTTTTAAAAAAATCTTTATTTATTTATTTTTATGTGGTGTTGAGGATCAAACCCAGGGCCTCGCACATACTAGGTGAGCGCTCTACCGCTGAGCCACAACCCCAGCCCCTGAATACTTTTTTTTTTAAAAGATAAAAAAAGTTCTATGACTTAGGACAAGAATTTCTCTGGTCATTTTGTTGGAAAAGTTTTATCTTCCTTGGTTTGTACCAAACTTTTCAACAAATGAACTCCTTTAAAAATTTTTGTCAAAGAACTTTAAATAGATATAATCAATTTACACACTATCCATAGTAGGTTCAATTTAGTTAATATTCCATATTAATTTAACATCTCACTATTTATTCTGTTTTTTTTTTTTTTCCCACTAAATTGCTGAGGCTGGTCTACAAATTAAGATCCTCTTGCCTCAGCATTCTGAGTCTCTGGGATTACAGGGATGTGCCACCATGCCTGGCACCCTATTCTTTCTTTAAAATGAAATGTTGAAGCACAAACATAAAACTTTACATTGTAACTGGTTTCATTATTTATTAAGAAGTGCACTTCTTGTACATATGGTGGATTTATTTTTTATAAAGATGGAATGAAAAGACAACCCACAGAATGACAAACATTTCCAAATCATATATAAGGGATTAATATCCAGAATTTTTTGTTTGTTTATGGTACTAAGGATTGGAATTCCAGGGCCTTGAACATGTTAGGCAAGTACTCTACCACTGAACTACATTCCCAGCTCTTTTTACATTTTATTTTGAGACAGAGTTTCACTAAATTGCTCAATCTGGCTTTGAATTTGAATTTCCTCCCTCTGTCTCTCAAGTAGCCGGGATTACAGGTATGTACCACCACACCTGGCAATATCCAAAATGTTTAAAGAGGCTCTACAACTCAGCAATAACAATCAACCCGATTCAAAAATGACATTTCACTTTTGCCTCGCTGCACTCTTGAAAGCAAGATGGGTTGCCAACAGCTCTATTGGAGCCACTGGTGAAAACTCCACCAGGGTTCTCTCTCTTGCAGCCTATGCTCAAACCAGCAGTCTGATCCAGGGGTCTGATCCAGAAATATGGCCTCAACATGAGCCAGCAGTGTT